TTTGACCATGAAAAGGAAAAAAACGCCTTGTATTTCAATCTGTGTATCATTCGTTCTTTTCATATTCAATTGAGATTCCAAAATCGGAAAATGAAAAAACGGTTTGTTATTTCCTTATTCGTTTATGAATCTGATACCAAAAAACAAATAACGGTTCATTTTTTGTACTTTCTATTTATTGCTCAGATCAAACATAGCAAATTAAATAACGGGCCACGGATCGATTTCGATTTTGATATTTAATGTTTTCGTTTTGTGTGAACCGGAAGTTATTGTCTTCTTCGTGTGTTGCACTTGGAAGTTTGCAGCAGTTTCGCAAAGCCTGAAAAAAGTCAATCCTGCAGTGACTGTACTCTGTATTTAAGGACTTATTGTACTCTGTGTTTAAGGACTGATTGTACTCTGTATTTAAGGACTTATTAAGGACTTATTAAGGACTTATTTGAAACTGGCAAGACACATGTAGAGATTTCTACTCGGCTGCAGCAGATGGAGATCCAGTGATGTTCTGACAGTCACCGTTTAGTTCCTCTGAACAATCACAATCAGACACTTTAATAATCCCAGGGGGGGAATTACTTTCGTTACATGCTCCATATGAATTAGACATAAATATATTAAGAATATACATATAGTATAATATAAAGTCACACAGTGTAAAGTGGTCGCAGGCTTCCTCTTCAGCAGAGGCTCATAGCAGATGTTGGGTTTGCAGAGGGATGTACGACAACGATGATGACGTGCAGGATAGATAGATAGATAAGAACGAACAAAAAGAGAATAAAAGTTAAGAAGTTAGAAAGCAGACTGGAGTAACAGGCAGCATGCAGCTTTCCGCGCACGCGCCAGGAAGACGAAGATGAAGATGAATGAAAAGATGAAACTCTCCATCATTGATCCTCAGTTTTGAAGACTAACGTTAGTTAAACTGAAGAAGCAAATCAAGCTAACGAAACAATAACTTCCGGTTCACACAAAGCGAAAACATTAAATATCAAAATCGAAATCGATCCGTGGCCCGTTATTTAATTTGCTATGTTTGATCTGAGCAATAAATAGAAAGTACAAAAAATGAACCGTTATTTGTTTTTTGGTATCAGATTCATAAACGAATAAGGAAATAACAAACCGTTTTTTCATTTTCCGATTTTGGAATCTCAATTGAATATGAAAAGAACGAATGATACACGGATTTATTTCAATTTGAATTTTTGTATTTTAAAACGAAAATCAAATAACCACTCGTTTTCTGTTTTTTAATTCCCGTTTCTGAAAGGAAAATCCAATGACCAAAACATACACGGACCCTTTAATTATATGGAATTCAGACAGTGTGTTGAAGTGTGTGACATCAGTAAATTGTGTTCAGTAACACGTCCATAATGTCAGTAATTGAAGACATTGTTCTTATTGTCCAGCCCTGTATTCAAACATTTCAAATTATACATCATTTCACAAAGTCTTTGATTCAGTGAGAATGTTTCTGAATATGTGAGCTTTAATGAATTTCTTTCTATCAGGATCCATCAGAGACCAGACTGTCCTGAACCTGAACCCAGCTGTGTGTCCATGAAGAGTGATCGCTCTATGGAAAATCGTATATACTTCAAAGATGGCCGTCACTCTGTTGATCAAAAGTGAGGATTTCAAACTGATGGTGAAAATAAAATGATGTGTTTTTATCAGACTCTCAGTTGTGAAATCTCCAGTTTTTCAACCTTTACTGACTCAGATGAAGTTCTCTGAGCACCAACACTCTTTCAGCAGCAGCTGCCTCACACTCACACAGTCAAACACATTCACACTGGGAGCTGCCCAGTTCAACCAGTCTGATACAAGCAGACACTGAGCAGCTCCACTGGAGCAGCTGGAGGCTCTAGGTGCCTTGCTCCAGGGCACTTCAGTAGTGTACAGTGAGGGAGGGAGAGCTATATGGAGGGGTTGGTGAGAGCTGTTGGGACTGAACCAAACTGAGCTGTTGATTCTCAGTGGGATCAGCAGGACTAGTAAACCTTTACCACTACAGGGAGTCATCAGATTCACTGTTCACATCCAAATATCACTTCATGGACCTTTACCTTGTGTTTGTCTCTGTGTGGACAGACATAATGTGAGCTCATTCTTCATGATTCCTCCACAGAGTGGACCAGGAGACCTCAGAGGTTCCCAGTGGTCAGTCTGCCCAGCAGCATCAAACACACCTGGACTCCATATTTATGGTCTGTGCATGAACAACAACTACTTTTACATCTATTGTGTTCACAATAATCTCCATGCTGCACTTTTTAGACCAGTGGATTGTCAGTCTGTCCAACATGGATCTGATGTTTGCTTCCATGATTTGACTTTGATTGAGTCATTCATATAATATTCTGTTCCAGCTGCTGGAGGACAACATTGTCACTTTTGTGAAGAACGAGCTGAAGAAGATCCAGAAGGTTCTGAGTCCAGATTTCCCAGAATGCTCAGAGAGTCAGAGGGAGGATCAGGAGGTGTTGGATGGTGAGGATGAAGAGCAGAGGAGGAGCAGCAGAGAGGCATTTCTGAAGATCACAGTGCATTTCCTGAGGAGAATGAAGCAGGAGGAGCTGGCTGACTGTCTTCAGAGCAGTAAGAGGATTTTAACAGATTGAACATGATGGAAAGAGGAAATGGAGGCAACATGGGAGAAGTTTACTTTTAAAACTTTGCTGATAATATGATGCACACATTGTATCAGATCTATGAATTCTTCTGGACTGAAAACAGAAACTGTTGACAACTGATGAGCTGAAGAGATTTAATGGAGGAGGAAAATAAATACCATCTTGATGTCTTAAAGTTTACATCCATCAGATTTATTGGAGCTTCTACTTATTAACTACATTTCTTATTTCTTCATTCAGGAACTGTTGCTGCAGCGTGCCGACGTGAACTTAAATCGAAGCTGAAGAAGAAGTTCCAGTGTGTGTTTGAGGGGATTGCTAAAGCAGGAAACCCAACCCTTCTGAACCAGATCTACACAGAGCTCTACATCACAGAGGGAGGGACTGCAGAGGTCAATGATGAACATGAGGTCAGACAGATTGAAACAGCATCCAGGAAACCAGACAGACCAGAAACAACAATCAGACAAGAAGACATCTTTAAAGCCTCACCTGGAAGAGATGAACCAATCAGAACAGTGATGACAAAGGGAGTAGCTGGCATTGGGAAAACAGTCTTAACACAGAAGTTCACTCTGGACTGGGCTGAAGACAAAGCCAACCAGGACATACAGTTCACATTTCCATTCACTTTCAGAGAGCTGAATGTGCTGAAAGAGAAAAAGTACAGCTTGGTGGAACTTGTTCATCACTTCTTCACTGAAACCAAAGAAGCAGGAATCTGCAGGTTTGAAGAGTTCCAGGTTGTGTTCATCTTTGACGGTCTGGATGAGTGTCGACTTCCTCTGGACTTCCACAACACTGAGATCTTGACTGATGTTACAGAGTCCACCTCAGTGGGTGTGCTGCTGACAAACCTCATCAGGGGGAAACTGCTTCCCTCTGCTCGCCTCTGGATAACCTCACGACCTGCAGCAGCCAATCAGATCCCTCCTGAGTGTGTTGACATGGTGACAGAGGTCAGAGGGTTCACTGACCCACAGAAGGAGGACTACTTCAGGAAGAGGTTCAGAGATCATGAGCAGGCCAGCATAATCATCTCCCACATCAAAACATCACGAAGCGTCCACATCATGTGCCACATCCCAGTCTTCTGCTGGATCACTGCTACAGTTCTGGAGGATTTGTTGAAGAACAGAGAGGGAGGAGAGCTGCCCAAGACCCTGACCGAGATGTTCATCCACTTCTTGGTGGTTCAGTCCAAAGTGAAGACCATCAAGTATGATGGAGGAGCTGAGACAGATCCACACTGGAATAATAACAGCAAGAAGATGATTAAGTCTCTGGGAAAACTGGCTTTTGAGCAGCTGCAGAAAGGCAACCTGATCTTCTATGAATCAGACCTGACAGAGTGTGGCATCGATATCAGAGCAGCCTCAGTGTACTCAGGAGTGTTCACACAGATCTTTAAAGAGGAGAGTGGACTGTACCAGGACAAGGTCTTCTGCTTCGTCCATCTGAGTGTGCAGGAGTTTCTGGCTGCTCTTCATGTCCATCTGACATTCATCAACTCTGGAGTCAACCTGCTGGCAGAAGTACAAACAACATCCCGGTTGTCTAAAGTCTTCCAAGACAAACCTAAACTGAAATATCTCCACCAGAGTGCTGTGGACAAGGCCTTAGAGAGTCAACAAGGACATCTGGACTTGTTCCTCCGCTTCCTCCTGGGTCTTTCACTGCCGACCAATCAGAATCTCCTACGAGGTCTGCTAACACAGACAGGAAGTAGCTCACAGAACAATCAGAAAACAGTCCAGTACATCAAGAAGAAGATCAGTGAGAATCTCTCTGCAGAGAGAAGCATCAATCTGTTCCACTGTCTGAATGAACTGAATGATCGTTCTCTAGTGGAGGAGATCCAACAGTCCCTGAGTTCAGGACGTCTCTCGAGAGATAAACTGTCTCCTGCTCAGTGGTCAGCTCTGGGCTTCATCTTACTGTCATCAGAAAAAGATCTGGACATGTTTGACCTGAAGAAATACTCTGCTTCAGAGGAGGCTCTTCTGAGGCTGCTGCCAGTGGTCAAAGCCTCCAACAAAGCTTTGTAAGTACAGAAATAGTTGGATTTCAGTATTATCACTCAAATACTCTGCTATCTTTCCCACTTAGAGAGATTATGAAGATAATATATATCACCAACATTGGGAACTCCTCACAAGCTGATATCATTTTTACAGCACTAATTTAAAGTGTTTCTGGTTTTGGCTGAGTGATAAAGTGCTGGTCACAAATGTTATTTTTCTTATTGTTGATCATTGTCTCTACAGACTGAGTGACTGTAACCTCTCAGAGAGAAGCTGTGAAGCTCTGTCCTCAGTTCTCAGCTCCCTGTCCTCTAGTCTAAGAGAGCTGGACCTGAGTAACAACAACCTGCAGGATTCAGGACTGAAGCTGCTTTCTGTTGGACTGAAGAGTCCACACTGTAAACTGGAAACTCTCAGGTCAGAATTCGTCTGTTCAACTGATAACTAGGGATGGGAATCGAGAACCGGTTCTTCTTCAGAACCAGAGCCCAGTGAATCGATTCCTTGGAACCGTTAGCTTGCCTGCTTAACGATTCTGCTTATCAGTTCCGCTCATTGCAAATGCGTCATGACGTCACACACACGCTGCGTTGTTTTGGTTCAGAACGCAGCAAACATGGCGTCGAGGCAGAACCGCTCTAAAGTTTGGTCATTTTCACGCGCAAAGACGACAATACGGTCACTTCCAACATTTGTAAAGTTTCCATTTCGTCAAAGGGGGAACTACCTCCAATATGCAGAAACATTTGGTGACACAGCATCAATTCATTTGCAGGACTGTTGCGTGTTTGATACCCTACTACCTAGCGACACAAGTGTGTTAAGACGCAGCGGAGCTAACGGGACACCATCTGTTATCAATGCCGAAGGTAACTTTAAATGACATGATCATTTTTCTGCACAAAAATTATTATACTTATTGGCTAAAAATGTGTGTCAAAATAAGTAATTTCATTGGTTACATTTTCGTGTCCTATCAACACATGGCTAGTTTTAATATTCAAATGAGCCATGTGTCGATTCGCCACAGTTGCTACCACCAGGCTGTCAATCAAGCTCTCAGAGACAGTGAACTAAAGTTAGCCTTTATCTATCCAGATAAAAACATTAAGAACAGTTTCTGTATGATGTTAATTAAACCAGGGGCGTAGGAATGAGTTTAACATTGGGGGGGGGGGACATATTGGAATCCTGACAGATCTGTTAATGGTCTGAACAGAAGTATGTCATAAATTAACTACACTGCAAAATATTCACAAATATATATTTATTCTACTAAAAAGATACATTTGTTAAAGCAAAGAAAAACACATTTTGAATGGCAGTAAGGAACTGATAAATATCAAATCAATTCTTTAATTGCAGGCCTAATCATCCAGTTTTGTAGATTAATAAATAACATGGGAAGAATATTGATCAAAATTTGAATTCAAATTTTCTCTTCTTAGTTGTATCTTATGCCTCAAACCTTCCTCTCATGATCAACAAACTAAAATCACCTCACCCTTCATATAGCACCTACCTGCAACTCTGCAGTGCTGGCTCTCCCTGCATCACCCTCACCACTGTTAGTGTCCAGCTGAACTTCATCTGATCTCTAATATGAAAGCAGTGGAGATGAATAAGGTATAGAAAAATACTGATGGGAATGTCAAGAACAAGCGAACAACACACAGACTAACTCCTTTCTAGATGTGGGAGATGTGTAACATTACTCGTTTTCAAGTTACACAGGTTAGGATGATGGAAAAATCATGTTCTTTTACGATCATCTTAAATACCAGGCATGAAAACGGTCAGGGGTGCAAAAGGTAAGAAGGATATTAGCCCTCTAGGGGGGTCCGGGGGCAAGCCCACCCGGAAGAAAATTTTGAATATTCCATATTTTAAAGCATCAATCTGATGCATTTTGAGATGCATTTTTTGCCAACCTGGGGAGAGCTGGAGAAACTTAACTTCAGCCATGAGTCAAAAATATTATGGCCTCCTTACTAAGTATTATGCAACTTCGGGATAAGGATTGGCTCTATGGGCTGGGTCGGTCGGACTGGGGTGCGAAGCGGGGCTGGGCTCGAGCCGCGGCTGGGGGAGCAGTCGCCCCGTCGTTAAAGCGAGTTAATACAAACAAACAAATTTGTACTTATTCCCTCACCCAATGAGAATCGATAAGAGAATCGATAATGGAATCGGAATCGTTAAATTCTTATCAATTCCCATCCCTACTGATAACCACTTTAAACCTGAATTATTATATAATATTATTATTATGTATCACCAACATTGGGAATTCCTCACTAGCTGATATCATTTTTACAGAACTAATTTAAAGTTTTTTGGGTTTTGGCTGAGTGATAAAGTGCTGGTCACAAATGTTATTTTTCTTATTGTTGATCATTGTCTCTACAGACTGAGTGACTGTAACCTCTCAAAGAGAAGCTGTGAAGCTCTGTCCTCAGTTCTCAGCTCCCAGTCCTCTAGTCTGAGAGAGCTGGACCTGAGTAACAACAACCTGCAGGATTCAGGACTGAAGCTGCTTTCTGTTGGACTGAAGAGTCCACACAGTAAACTGGAAACTCTCAGGTCAGGATTCGTCAACCTGTTCAACTGATAACCATTTTAAACCTGAATTATTATGATGGATACAATTGAAATCTTCCTAACATTGTTTTGTTTATTTAGTTTGAGTCTCTTTCCTTGAACATGTTTATTATGTAATGTGTTGTTCTTTGTGTTTGCAGGCTGTCAGGCTGTCTGATCACAGAGGAAGGTTGTGCTTCTCTGGTCTCAGCTCTGAGCTCCAACCCCTCCCATCTGAGAGAGCTGGACCTGAGTAACAACAACCTGCAGGATTCAGGACCGAAGCTGCTTTCTGTTGGACTGAAGAGTCCACACTGGAGACTGGACACTCTCAGGTCAGAATTCGTCAACCTGTTCACCTGATAACCATTTTAAACCTGAATTATGTTGATGGATACAATTGTAATCTTCCTAACATTGTTTTGTTTAATTAGTTTGAGTCTCTTTCCTTGAACATGTTTATTATGTAATGTGTTTGTAGCACCCCAACACTCAGTAAATGCTTAAGTTAAAGCAACTCACCTTGGACTTAAATGATGGGGTGTTGGGGTTCGATTTATTAAGGTAACTACCACAAAGGTTAACCTGTTTTGTGTGAAACTTGTTATGGCCTAATACTTTATGAATAACCAACAACTCTGTTAGACTAAGCAGTGACTCTATTCACACGTACTCTACACTATCAAATAAATGAAATAATAGTTAACTAACCAGTTGTTTTCCAGTTCAACACAAATTGTATTTACTTTGTTAGTTAACAGATAAACAAAAATTAAATAACACAATTACTCAAATTAGACTTCTTTAAAATAAAAATATTATAGTTGTAAACAAAAATGACCTTTACCAAAATTGGCAAAACAGTGTAGAAAAATAGACACTCATAATAAGCAAAATAGAATTGGCTATATCAAAATACTATTCAAAATTTAAATAATTCCAGGTCTCCTGTGAAATTCCTAGTTCTTACCCCTTAATACGATTTCTCTGTACTTATCAAACTCAGATCAAATATGCTACTTAACTGAAATCAAACAAAACAGTGGGCCCACACACACACACACGCACACACACACACACACACACACACACACACGCGCACACACACACACACGCACACACACGCACACACACACACACACACACACAGACACACACAAAAACAAAAAAAGGCCTGTGTGTTGCTCGGTGCGGTGCGGCAGGCAAATCCTTATCCTCAGTGACAATTAACAGTGACATAGAAAATCCAACTCACGGTCTGGAATAAGTCCTGGAGAAACAGTTAATGAAGAGATGAAGATGAAAGCCAACGGCAGCAGAAGTAAAGTCCTCCTCAGGAAGCGTGAAACAGTCCTTCCCGTTCAGCAATGGCGTCCTCTTGGTTCGATTCTCCCGCCCCTTTTTAACTCACTCCCTTACCTACGGCCAATTACCAACAGTTATTTGTATTACAAATTAACTTGTTTTAACCCCTGTACTTTTACACCAGACTACATGTTGTTCTGTGTGTTTGCAGGCTGTCAGGCTGTCTGATCACAGAGGAAGGTTGTGCTTCTCTGGTCTCAGTTCTCAGCTCCCAGTCCTCTAGTCTGAGAGAGCTGGACCTGAGTATGAACGACCTTCAGGATTCAGGACCGAAGCTGCTTTCTGTTGGACTGAAGAGTCCACACTGTAAACTGGAAACTCTCAGGTCAGAATTTGTCAACCTGTTCAACTGATAACCACTTTAAACCTGAATTATGTTGATGGATACAATTGTAATCTTCCTAACATTGTTGTTGTTTGAGTCTCTTTCCTTGAACATGTTTATTATGTAATGTGTTGTTTTGTGTGTTTGCAGGCTGTCACACTGTCTGATCACAGAGGAAGGTTGTGCTTCTCTGGCCTCAGCTCTGAGCTCCAACCCCTCCCATCTGAGAGAGCTGGACCTGAGCTACAATCATCCAGGAGACTCAGCAACAAAGCTGTCTGCTGGACTGGAGGATCCACACTGGAGACTGGACACTCTCAGGTATGAGGCGGATCAACACAGTAGTAGTAGTCAGGTGACAGAGGAAAGGTGATGAAATTTCAGTTTTTCTGGACCGATGTCTTGTTTCGACATTGGAAAATAGGACAGTGGTTTATCCTGATGGGTTGGCGAGCATCATGGCGGGTTGATATTTGTCAATGTTGTCACGCTGAAGGTTTGTGGGCTCATATCATAAATAGTTTGGGATATTTTGATGGATGTCATCTGCCATCAGCGTGTGTTACCTTTTAGTCCAGAAAAACTAAAGGCGTCACCTAAACTACAATTCAGTTCAGTTCAGTTCAGTTTTATTTGTATGTCACCAATTCATAACAGAAGTTATCTCAGGACAGTTTTCAAATAGAGCAGGTCTAGACCGAACTCCTTATAACATTATTTACAGAGACCCAACAGTTCCCACCATGAGCAAGACCTTGGAGACAGCGGCAAGGAAAAACTTCCTTTTCTGCCCTGACAGAGAGAGAGAGAGAGAGAGAGAGAGAGAGAGAGAGAGAGAGAGAGAGAGAGAGACTAGAAATGACTGATGATGATGATGAACATGAAGAAGATGATGAAAACGACAACAACGGTGGACAATAACAATAATAATAATAATAATAATAATAATAATAATAATAATATCAGTAATTTTGAGGCTCCACCAGGATCGATGAGAACCTGCGAGACGAGACACTCCGGGGAAGAAGTGAAGTTAGTAACATGCATTAATGGGACATGAATGAGTGCAGAAAGAGAGAGAGAGGAAGAGAGGAGCTCAGTGCATCATGGGAAATCCCCCGGTAGTCTAGGCCTATAGCAGTAAACTAAGGGATGGTTCAGGACTCACCTGATCCAGCCCTAACTATAAGCTTTATCAAAGAGGAACGTCTTAAGCCTACTCTTAAATGTGGAGAGGGTGTCTGCCTCCAGAACCACAACTGGAAGCTGGTTCCACAGGAGAGGAGCTTGGTAACTGAAGGCTCTGGCTCCTGTTCTACTTTTAGAGACTATAGGAACCACAAGTAGCCCAGCATTCAGAGAACGTAGTGTTCTAGAGGGGTAATAGGGTACTATGAGCTCTTTAAGATATGAAGGGGCCTGACCATGAAGAGCTTTGTAGGTGAGGAGGAGGATTTTAAATTCTATTCTAAATTACTACTGATGTGATCTCAGTTGTGTTTAATGCAGGGAAATGTATATTTGCTATGTTTTTTAGAAGATATTGAATTTTCCTGTGTTCTGAGCAGTCCTTGAACACCTCCTGCTGTATGTTTTGTTGTTTATTAGAGTATTCAGGTGTCAACCTGTCATTGTCCAATCAGGGTCTATTAGAGATAAGTATGAGGAAACCTACCGGATTCTGAGAGGATTAAAAAGAGAAACGGAGACGTAAAAGAGAGATAGAGAGACGCTCATCCGCTACGCCTGGTTCTGCTCCATCATACATTTTATCCCGCTCCACTCACCACTCCGCTCAAAAAAACAAAACGACTTCAACAATGTCGCCTTTTTCTTGTTCCACATTATCCCCATCTGTTACTTTTACAGGAATAGCACACTTGTACGACTTCTCAGTTTCTTTTCTGAAGTACACATTAAACTCCATAGTTTTGAAAGAAAATAGTGTGGGTGTGCGCGTGCAGGTGCAAAGACTGGAGCGACCTTTAAAAAAATTGCCGCTCAACACAAAATCCTTTTGCTCCCCGCTCCGCTCATATGGTCTGACAGGGACTAACGTTAGTTTCACAACTTTGATCATCCGCCACTGGACAGAGGTTGTGAACTAAACAAACAACGTTGCTATCCAGTGTGCGTGTAATCAAAAAGGATGGAGAGTGTTATTTTGATCGTGTGTTCTTTGCGTAATGGATGTGGAGAACTGTTCAATAACGTTTAAATAGTCAGAGATTATTTCCTTGTGGTTTGCGTAAAAGGATTTTGGAGCTAATAGAGTCGCGTGTGACATAAACGTAGATAGTGCAGTGACTCAGGTTCATGCCAGCTGAACAAATCTATTGCATTGTTATAGCGTTATTGTGAAGTTTAATTAATAGCGCATATATTCATCTGAGAACTGATGATGTCTGTGTGTTACAGACCCTGGCTGTGTGCACTGAAGTGTATATGACAATAAAGTAGTGAATCTCAATCTATTTATTTATTTTTAAAATGTATTTTAAATAGGCCTATAGGCTCATAGGTTTTTTGTCCAAAAATACCAAACAATTTTTTCACAGCACCCCCTGTTCAAAATGACTTCCAGCGGCCCTGGGGTACAAATTAGAGTTAGATTAGAGTAGCAAAATTCAACTGCTCTTAACTCATCCTATAGAATAACATTTATCAGTCATCAGCTCATCATCTGTGTCACCTGTATTGTTACCTGTGTTTGCTTTACTAATTGAGGCGCCATCTTGTGGTTACATAAAAACACAGCAATCCAGGCAACAGAACAGAAAAACTAAAGGCGTCACCTAAACAACAATTCAGTTCAATGTCACCAATTCATAACAGAAGTAACTACTGCACTCAGGTTCAACTCAAGGAGTGAGTAAATGTAAATAATAATAATGTAAAAAGGTAAACACAATTTCACAATCAACAAAAAGTAGAATCACAGTTCAGATTCATTCCAATATATAAAAGAAATAAAAGAACTGAAAGTGAAAGTGTTTCTTTACAGCTTATTGCTCTCTGATATCAATGTTGGTCAAAGTCCAGTCCAAAAGCTTAGTGTGTATCCATGTCCGTCCAAGTGTATTCAATGTGTATGTGCTACCCGGGTAGAATGTGTGTGTTTGTTTGTACGCTTGCTCAGATCTTATCTTCAGGAAGATGATGAAGATGGAGAATTCCAGATACTCTCTAACCCTGCCTCGCATCCCACAGGAAACCCAGAATGTAGATCCAGCAACTCAAAAAACCAATTATCTCTCATCAATTACTGTACAGTATCATATCTCTCTTTAACTCAAGTGTAACTTATAACAAAAGCAATGATGAACTATATCCTGAGACCTTAAAAGCTTAGACATCATTGTGTTTTGTTTCCTTTTTTACCCGTATTAATAAATCATGTTACACAACTTATCTCTAATCAATCATGTCTCTCATTCATATTCACCCTTATGTATTTTTAATCATCTCAACATGAACTGAAACACATTATTTATATCAGGAAAAACCCATATGTATACAAATCATGAGCATTAGCCCACATATAGCATATTTTTAACTCTGACTTTAACACTGAACATGGCGCCCAGAAATGTAAACATTAGCATTACACTAAAAATAAATGCATTTCTAAAACACAACTCAGCATATTAACTCATTTCAGTGTCTCCATAACATTTACAGTCCAATTGGTTTTTGTTGATAAGAAAATTGCTTAATCATAACCACACAGAAAAATTACATGTCTGCTAGCAACGTAGCATGCTAACTAGTACACTCTCCAGAGTCCTCAATCATATAAACAAAAGAAAGCAAATCCTCCGGTCGCAGCGGTCTGGCAACAACTTCGCTCCAGTACAGACTCATAAACATGAGAACAACAATATTTCTTCCATAAAATGGAATTAACTAACTTCACTCGTGAGTTGTTAGCATCGGGCTTAGCTGAGGTGTTTTTGATCCCAGCATGCAACGCTCACGTCTACTTGATTTACTACTTATCACATCCATAGTGCGCCCTCTAGCGGCTATTTTAGGCAACTACAGTCATCTTGAAACAGTTTCCCTCATAAATTCAGATATTAAAATCAAACTTATTAACTACAAATAATAGTTGGACTTTCATAATGTATGCTAACTAGCATTAGCTTCGTATGGACTGTTGCTAACTAGCATTAGCTTCTTATGGACTGTTGCTAACTAGCATTAGCTTCTAGTGGAAGTAAATGCAGAGAAATATTATATTTAGTCGGCTCTTACCAATTCACCTCCCATGTTAAACTGTTTAAAGGTAATCAATGTAAACATTCTGTTACAAATATAATACTGATAATAATAATAGATCATCAATAAGTGAAAATAATGAGCTGTAGCCATCGGCCAATAAGAAGAAGCTCCACTGAACTGAAAGACTATCAGCTGATTAATAATAAGTGCTCCATGTGAAGATGTAAGTCCATTTGTAGAGAATAAGCTCTGTGTATGAGAGCGATGTAATGTCCATGTTTCCATGCTGCTCTGACCCCCTCCTCCTTTCAGGGTGGAGCCTGCTGGAGTCCGATGGTTGAGACCAGGTCTGAGGAAGTGTAAGTGTGAAAACAAAGCAGCACACATTCAACCATCTTCACACTGTGACATCACTCATTCACAGCTCTGATGTCATCATCAAAGTGTCAATCAATGATCAGATGATAGATCAATAACTGCAGCTGTATTGTGTCTTGTTCTCTCCATCAGATTCCTGTGAACTCACAGTCGACACAAACACAGTGAGCAGAAACATCAAACTGTCTGACAACAACAGGAAGATGATTCATGTGGAGGAGGATCAGTCATATCCTGATCATCCAGACAGATTTAACTTCTGGCCTCAGCTGCTGTGTAGAAATGGTCTGACTGGTCGCTGTTACTGGGAGGTCGAGTGGAGAGGAAGAGTTTATATATCAGTGAGTTACAGAGGAATCAGCAGGAGAGGAGACAGTAGAGACTGTTGGTTTGGAGGGAATGATCAGTCCTGGAGTCTGTTCTGCTCTGATGGTCGTTACTCTGTCTGGCACAATAACAGAGGAACATCCATCTCCTCCTCCTCCTCCTCCTCCTCTGGTAGAGTAGCAGTGTATGTGGACTGTCCTGCTGGCACTCTGTCCTTCTACACAGTCTCCTCTGACACACTGATCCACCTCCACACCTTCAACACCACATTCACTGAACCTCTTTATCCTGGGTTCAGGTTCAGCTCTGGTTCCTCAGTGTCTCTGTGTCCTCTGTAGGAGGGAGAGAGAAACTTTCTCACTGCTGACCAGATAGTTCAGTCTGTACAGGAT